AGAACAGACCTGAAATGTCTTCCACAAATAGGGGAATACTCGCCAGCAGTAAATTCATTGAAGGATGAAGAGTCCCCTTCTCCCCCAAAGGTACAAGATATATGTTTTGCTAAGGATTGTCAGTGTCCTGATAACTGTAGTTTACATGCCAGTACAGAGACCCATGAAATTCTGTTTAGATGTTCTCATTGCAAGGAAGAATTCAGAGTTGAGAATGAGTTAGTCCTGCATGAAAAGACACATACCAAAGATACAGCTTTACAGTGTTCGCAGTGTGCATGCAAATTTGGTTCAGAAAATGATTTAGTGCAGCATGAAAAAACACATAAGGATAAAGAGGAGTGTAGATTCCCTTCAGAAGAACACACACAATGCAAAGGGAAGGTGTCCCTTACTTCTCTTTTAAGAAGACACCGAAAGAGCTTACAGAGAGTTGAAGTAGAGGTAACAGACCAAGTGGATGTTCCTCAAGTTACCAAAGATCCCCCATTGTGTTCTGCTTTGGATTGTCCCATGCCAGTGGAAGAAATGAATGAAGAAAGAACAGATCTGAAAAGTCTTCCACAAATAGAGGAAAACTCCCCAGAAGCAGATTCATTGAAGGATGAAGAGTCCTGTCCTTCCCCAAAGGTACAAGATAAATGTCCTGCAAAGGATTGTCACTGTCCTGATAATTGCAGTTTACATGCCAATGCAGAGACACATGAAGTTCTCCTTAGTTGTTCTCATTGTGAGGAAAAATTCAGAACTGAGAACAACTTAATCCAGCATGAAGAGACACATACCAAAGATAGAGCTTTCCAGTGTACACAGTGTGCACACAAATTTGGTTCAGAGAATGCCTTAGCACAGCATGAAGCAACACATAAAACTATACAAAAGGATAAAAGTTTTCAGTGTTCCATTTCTGAGTGTAGATTCCCTTCAGAAGAACACACACAATGTAAAGAGGAGGCATCCTTTACTTCCCGTTTAAAAAGGCACCGAATGAGCTTACAGAGGGAAGAAGTAGAGGTAACAGACCGAGTGGATCTTCCTCAAGTTTCTGAAAATAACCCAAAAGATTCAATGCAGGACAAGGAGCCTTCCGCTTCTCTCAAGGTACAAGCATTGTGTCCTGCTAAGGATTGCCACTGCCCTAAAAATTGCAGTTTACATCCAAGGAAAGAGATAGATAAAAGATTGTTTAGGTGTTCACACTGTAAGAAAAAATTTACATCAAGGAATGAATTGAGACTGCATAAAAAGACCCATACTCGTAACAAACCCTTCCATTGTGTACAGTGTGATAGCAAGTTCAGTTTGGAGAATGACTTAATACAACACGAAAAGACACATACTAAGGTAAAAGCTTTCCAGTGTACACACTGTAGGTACAGGTTCAGTTTTGAGGATGACTTGATAGAACATGAAAGGTCACATGCTAAGGTAGAATCTTTCCAGTGTACACAGTGTGAATGCAGATTCACTTTAGAAAATGATTTGATACAGCATGTGAAGATGCATACTAGTGATAAACCTTTCATTTGTTCACAGTGCAAGATAAAATTCACCACATTTTCAGAATTAAAGCAACATGAAAAAATTCATACAGATGAAAAGGGTTTTGTGTGTTTATACTGTGAAAAGAAATTCTTTGAGAAATTGGCCATGTCAAGGCATATGAAAAGAAATACTGGCAGGAAGCAGTTTAAATGTACATACTGTGATAAAAGTTTCAAGGCAAAGTGTATTCTTAGGAAACATGTAAGAATTCATCAAGGTGAGGAGCCATTCCATTGTACTATGTGTAATATGAATTTCATTTGGAGGTCCCAGCTAGATCATCATATTAAGAATCACGGAAATGAAGAAAATACAGAACACATAGATAAGTTAACCGTGTTGTCTTTGATACGAGAATATAAAAAAAATGGTAGAAACAGAAGAAAATTTAATCAAAGGCAGTATCATCGTCCACGAGCAATTAAACAGTATCATCGTACTCGCACAGTCAGGCAGCATGAGCATCTACCAGTAGTTAGGCACCCCATGGTGACAAGGTCCTCATCCCGACAAAAAGCAGGTTTGTCTGTTGTAAAGAAATCTCCTCTGAAGGAAGGTAAATCACAAAGTGAAGTTAAAGAATGTCTCACAGAGGAAGATTGGGCTCAGGAAGCTCAAGAAGCAATCGAATACCTTTCAAAGGAAGGGTGGCTGCAGGAAAAATATCCTCTTATTAATGAATTTCCCATGGAGGGAGGTTGGGATATAGAAGCTCAAGAGGCTGTTGATTTTTTCACACAGGAAGACTGGCTGCAACAAAATTTACCTGCTATTGATGAACTTTCTATTGAGGAAGGCTGGGCTCAGGAAGCAGAGGGAGGCAGGTTAGAAGAAGAGCTTTCTGTTGTCCGAGAATCTCCCACCATGGAGAATTGGCCTCCTCTTGTTAGTGAATCATTCACAGAGGAAAGTAACCCACAAGAAAACCTTGCAAGAGATTCTTCTATACAGGGAGGTCAGAGTCAAGAAAACCATCCTGCTGGAAAATCTCCCACACAGAAAGATCATGATCATGAAAGTGTTCCAGCTGGAAGATCTCCAATACAAAAAGCTCGTGATCAAGAAAACCAACCTGCTGGAAAATCTCCCACACAAGCTCAAGAACAAGAAAACCATCCTGCTGAAAAATCTCCAATGCAGAAATATCGTAATCAAGAAAAGGATCTTCCTTTTGGAGAATCTTGTTTACAGAATTATCAGTTTCAAGAAAATCTTCCTGCTGAAGAATTTCACTTCCAGAAAGATCAGTTTCAAGAAAATCATCTTCCTGCTAAAGAATCTCCCATGCAGAAAGATCACGTTCAAGAAATTTTTTCAGCAACAAGACCTCCCTTACAGAGAGAGCAAGCTCAGGAAAATCTGTTTACAAGCGAAGTGCCCACAAGAGAGTGTTGGCAGCAAGAAAAGTTTTTCATTGCTACAAAATCTCCCACAGAGAAGAATGGGATGAAGCAAAACCTTTCTGGAGCAGCTAAAGGAGGAGCATCACATACAAAGGAAGATCAAGATCAAGAAAACTGCGTTGCAAGAGAATTTGCCACAAAGAAAGTTTGTTTGCAGGAGAATGTACCTGATGGAATAGAGGCAAAGGATGACTTGCGGATATTCATATCAATTCTGATAGAAAATTTAGAATGGTCTTTAAAGAATCGTTATGCAGAAAAAAATCTCAGAGAGGCCGTCTTTGATTCCTAAAGAAACTTGTTCTTTTAGTTACACCATATGGTTTATTTACCTGAAACAGTATACAAAGAAATGCTGCTTATATTATTTTATCTGTTTTATAGTCAGTGACCTTGTTAGTACCAAGAGAATTTATAATAAAGATATTACTTAATTCATATTTTTCTTATTACACACTCAGAAACTTATCACCCAGTCTGTTTGAACCAGAATTGCATTGCAACACCATTCCACCTAGAGGCTGCCATAGTCCAACAATATTGCCAAGATTTCTTCATGTTTAAACTAACTGCCCTCTATGTGCCCATCCTGGTCATGGTCGATAAAACTGCTCTGCACAGTCATTTAATCATCCCTTGCTACCCTCTCCCTCTCTCTCGGTCAAATTCTTTTGCCATTATAAATCCAGACACCCCAATCTCTACCACTATTCCAGACACTCCAGTCTCTTCTTCCCGGTCTTTACTCCTTTTTGCTTTTTGTTCAACTTGTCAAGCTAAATATTCCACTATTCACCGCATTCATTCCTACCTCAACCTTTCCTTATACCCCTCAAACATCTGCCTCCTCTTCTCTACCTCATGTGAACACCCTCCCCCTTCTCTCCAACCAACTCCACGTTAGAAACTCTTGAAGACATTCAAAGCAATCTGATTATGACCCAGGTAACATACCTACACCTCGTCTATCCTCCAGTTTCTCTGCTCCCATTCCCTCTACATTCAGAGTAATTGCTGTCATCCATCCTCCTACTCGTACTCCTACACCCCTTACACTCTCTCCCAGCACATCCCATTCTCCTTGCTTCATCAGTATCACCTCCCTCTTCCCCAGGATATATATGACTTTGTCACAACAACCCCCTTCATTAGATTCTCTCCCTCCTGATTTTTCCCCTGGTACTGAATTACTCGTCCTTAAACTCCCCTTTCTCCTTATGCTAATCCCTACCTTACCATATGGACCCCTTCCCCTTGACAGTTAACCAGCCCTCTCTTTACCCCTCTTTACCCTTTTCAATGCCATATCCTGAACTGCTTTACGGCTTTTGACTTGTAGCACATTTATTCATCAACTAGACCACCCTTCCATAGTGTTAAATGACCTTTGATGTCTAGCACATTTATTTTGCTTTGTAACTGTTGATCATTAACTCGTCAAATCCCTCCTCTCTTATTAATACCGCACTCAGCACAAATCGTTTGAATACTCTCTTTAATCCAGCTAAGTGGGGTTGATTTTTTGTGATTCCCCATACAGCCCCTTACTCCGACAATACCCCCCCCCCCTCCCTATTCCAACAGTGTCTGGAAACAAGGAGGGAAAGTTTCCTTTTGCAGTCACCTTATCAAAGTTACATTCGAGCCCCAAGCTCATGCACTATCTACCCTGACTGATTACACTGGCAAACCTATTCCTATCCAACCCCTCTCCTCCCTTAATACTGGTACCAGAACTGTTTCCATCTGCCCGACTGACTATCCTGTCTAGGACAAGTATTTAGACTGAAAAGGAATTGCTTGCCTGCCTCGTTGACTTTGACGCAGTGTTAGTAGAGTGCAACAGTATTCTCCACAAGGACCATCTATGTGCCCAACTTGGCCATGATCGTTCATACTACCCTGCACAGTAATGTATATCTCCCCTTCCCGTTCTCCCCAAAATATTTCTAAATCTCCCCCAATATATCTTCCATCTATTCCATACGTTCCTGTGCTATCCCCCTCCCTCTGTTTTAATATCTTTTGCCATTCAAAATCTAGACACTCCAATCTCTGCCTCCCCGGTGCCTACTACTATTCCTCCTCGCTCTATCTTCGTTTCACAGATCTCCCCAACCAACTCCATTTTAGAA